TTGTTGATTAGCTTGTGTTGGCTTAAAAATATAACTGAACTCAACCGTACTCTTAAACTGTTATTTGAGTGGCTCAAATTAGTATCAGAAATCAGCAGTCCTCCTCATTCGCACTAATATTATAAAATGGCTCGTGAAAAAGCATTTACCAAACACTAACATTTTCAAAAACGAACAAAAAGCATGGATTGCCGTTGTCGTAGCCATAATTTGTTGCTTTTGAGCAGTCGTAGCCGAACTCACGCTCAAAGTCGAACGTGCACCACTGTACGCCATCATTTCGTTCCTGTGCAGAACATTGCTTCAAGTACTTTTCCATTGAGCGCTGAGAGTTGCTATACTCTGCAAAAAAAAAACAGAAATTTGGAAAGGCGTTGGGTTTCTAAACAGCTTCGTGCCATGTGCACTGATTTCTGTTCTCTTGCGTTTCAACAAAAGCACCGATCCTGGAACTGTTCGAATCCAAAGTGGTGATTTAATTAAAAGAAAAAGGCTAGTGTTTGGCTGCGAAATTGGAAATTGCCATCATTGGTAAATATGATTGGTCTAATCGATAAACAGTCCTGCAGTTTTGAAGGGTCAGAACGGAACGGTTCGTCAATCATTAAATTACGGTACGACTAGGCTCGGCGGGGTTCAGCCACAAGTACGATATAAATTTTTACTGACTCGGAGTGCGACTAGATTGATAGGACAAAATTTTAGAAGTCAACTATTACAGAATGATTGGAGTGAAAGGGCATGTCCAGAAAAAGGAATTACGTACTGTTTCTTTTGGTAAGGTGTAAAAGAGAACAGATGTTTTTCGTCCAACAGATTAGTAACATTTTATCATTCTTGTTTATCCTAAAGTGAGCAAAAGGTGGCGCGCAGGAGAAGCAAAGAGCAATCCAGAATCGCATAGCAGATTGACTTCTTGATCCTGTGATCTGTTCCGCCTTTTGTGGCAAAAATATAAGTCTGCGATGTTGTTGTAAAATTCAGTGTTGATTGTTCCGTGTCAAGTATTGCGGTATTAAGCGTTCTCCGTCGGCAGCGGTGTCGCTGTATTTCGCCTTCCTTATCCCAACCGACCCAAGTGTAAACTGTGGACTCTTATTGCGCTGATAAAGTGCATTTTTGTTATCCCAGCGCCCCCAGCAAGCTCAGTCAATAACATCGTCATTCATCCAAATATCATCCGAACAATCGTAGTAACAATCGTCGTAACTTCGTCATCGTAACAGCAGTGTGGTCAATAAACTTTATGTTA